CTTTGCTGATGTATTTGGAAAACAAATCTGCACTGTTGTGAAGTGTGTTGATCTTAAGGATTCTGATGATGTCGTGTTTGATGATGTCTTGTGTGTAGAGAAATTTGAGGTCGATGTGCTTCGCTCGTTTGCTAGCGCCTTGTCGTGTAGCAATGCTCTTGCCTGCTGTGGAGTCTGTGTGGATGCGTAGGTTTAGCTTGCTGCAAATGTTGGTTTCAAGTAGGAAGTTTCTGAGGTGTTGTCCCTCATTAACTCCTGTGCAAATGGCGTAGGGTTCAGACTCTGCTGAGCTGAGTGCTATTGTAGCTTGTGTTCTGCTGCAACTGTTGTTCCTAAAAAGATGATGTTGAGACCTGAAGTTGATTTCCTGGTAGTAGGGCATCCTGCCCAGTCGGCATCGACATGAACGTCGAGATCCAGGATGTTGTTGGTGTTTGCTCTGAGTGTTGTTGTTGTTGGTTCTATGGTGAATTTGTGGCGCTTCGCGCCGTGCAAGTAGCGGAGTAAATGATTGAAAGTTCTCTAGGTGCTGTGAGGTCTCGTGCCAGTTCTTTTGTAGAGTATGCGATGTCTGGTCGCGTGTGTGCTAACCATTGAAGTTTGCCAACAATCCTGCTGTACCTTTTGTGTTGTTCGTGGTCAAGAAGCGCTTCATCCTCTATTGTTGGTTTGTAGTGGGCGATTCCTGGAGCGGTCACTGTGTTGCGGTTGGTCATTCCAGACTCCTCGATCATGCTGTCGATGTAGGAGTCCTTTAGTCCAAGATTGCAGTAGTTGCCGAAGTGGTCGATGTTCCTTCCAAGAAATTGTTGTGGTTTGCCAGGTTCGAGGTAGCCGATGTGCTTGAGTAGGACCTGCTTCTGGACGGCCTCGAACGTGGAGTCGACCGCGGTCTTGTCTCCAAGTACCAGTAGATCGTCCACGTAGACCATGATGTAGCAGTCGCGAGTCGCATTAGTGTAGACGTTAGGTTCTGACTTTAGTCTTACAAAGCTGAGCTTTGGTAACACTTCAGCCAGGTAGTCCTGCCATGCTTTTGGTGAACTGCGTAGTCCATACATGGGTTTCTTTAGTCGTCAGATTTTCTTCATCCAGTTGGGCCGTGACATTTGTAGTGCGAGAAGTGTCCGGAGTGTCGTGAACATCCGTGTAGAGGCGTAGACGGAGTCTTCGTCCTCGATCTTCTCCGTGTAGCCTTTGCGACGATTCGGCTTCGTACTCCTGGTCCTTTCTTTCTGTGTACCCATCTTGCAGGTATGGCTTCTTTTAGGATGTTGTCGTCAGTTTGTGTAGGGAGTCATGGATGTTCCGTTGGGAAGTGTCACTGCGTTGATTTTCTGTCGTAGCGGTTGTGGTTCTTTGGTTGCTTGCTCCGTTGATCTGATTGTAGTGTCCTTTGAGGTCTTCTGTGCTTTGGTTGCAAACTTCTTCCGGAGTTAAACGTCTTAGTGTTTGTTGAGGTGGTGCTGGTAGTGGTGGGTGTTCGGAAACTTTTCCGAGCCAGATGCATTTATTTCTGCATCCGTAGGTCTTTTTTGGAAGTTTCTTGTGTTGTGGTGGAAGGTAAAGTAGTGTCTCGCCAAATTCGCAGATTGCTCGCTCGTAGTTTCTTCCCCAGCGGCGTTCAAAGCTTGTGTAGCCGTCTGAGTGGATGACGTAGCGATTTACCGTCCATGCTGCATGTCGTACTACCCAAGGTAGTAGACAGTGCTTTGTGGACATCGTCATGCTGTAGTTGCTTTCAACCTGCGCTTTGACGACGCGTACCTGTCCGAGGAGTGTTCGGTGTAGTCGCCCAACACTTCCTTGACTGTTACTGCTGTAGGAGGGCGCATGCCTAACAGTCATTGAGCCGACTTTTGCTGCTGTAGCTTTTCGAAGTGCGTTGAGTGTGTCTTCGTTGTCGCTTTGTAGTATGCCTTGTGCTCTTCCGCACTCAAAGATGAATGCTTGTAGGTTGTTGACCATGTAGTGCATCATTTGCTCACAAGCTAGGCGAGGCTTTGTGTGGCTCTTAGCAGGTCATACCCATGCGGGATGCGAATAAATTCTTCATAAGTACCTTTGCTTCTATGGGTTGTAGCCTACCCTTTGGCTCCTCTTCATTTACGACAGGTCTCGCGACCTTCGAACCCATGAATGGAGCACCGACCTTACTCAACGATGAAATATGAGTACCGTTCACAATATGCGTCTACGCATGATTTGAGGAAATCAGACACGTCGTGCTCAACAATGCTGACTTCGTTTGTCATGCAACCTAAGGGGGTTTATCGCATATGCTTTCAGGTCCTTTGAACTTAGAAGCCTTGACTTCTTTCTTTGCCGCGGTTTTGTCTCTCATCGAACCAGGTTTTGAGGGCAGAGCGCGTTGCAGCGCTGAGCTATGGTTTTCACCATAGGAAAAAACTGTTTGTTCGGCCCACCACGCGGTGTCCGCAGTGATGCGATCACCTGCGCGGCGCGACCACTCATCGCAAAATCGGACTCATCTTAGATTCATTCTTGATTGTCACACGCTGAGGATCAAGGCTGTGCGCGAATGCACTCATCGGCTCTTTCGGACGGAACAGACTCTTCCTGGGCTGCAAGTGGTAACGTGTCCACCCTCTTGCGCAGGCTTGTCAAGCTCCGGAAGAACCGGCATTGCAGGGGCAGGCCGAATCACAGGCATCGTTGGCTCGCCCTCGCGGGCAGCGGTGGTTGGCTTTGCGCTGGAAGCAGCTTCGGGGTGCTCGGACCTGGCCTCGGAGGACACAGTGGTCTCGATCACAGCCTTCTTGGCGTCTGCGCGTAGCTGCTCTTCATACTGCTAAGTTAGGACCTTTCGGCCCTGGCTGCCGAGCATGACCCACATGTCGGACGGGATGTCTGGAGGCCTTGGATCCGGCCTTCCTACGGACGAGTCGAACCCCATCCCACTCGAAAGCGCCACGCTTCTCAGGCGTGACAGCTTGGCTTTCGCTTCGGATTGGGTTCCTCGATCAGGGCTTGCCCACGTTCCAGCGGAACAGGGTCACTTCTTGCTTTGGCATCGGCAACAGGTGGATGAGAAGCAGGGTCTTTCAACAACCCCATCGGGAAGATGAACTCATCCGATGGAAGCTCAACGCGCTTTGTTTGCTGTACCGTGAGGGACGCATGTTCGATATGATAATCGAGCCCTTCTAGCTTTGCAACAAGGAATTCACCTTTCCGTGCGAACCCAGGCTGAATGTGATACCCGAGAAACACGCCTTCGTTTGATGTTGGCGAAGTCTGGCCTGCCTGATTGTCAGCTCGTGCTGGATTGTTCCAGAACAGTATCTTTGCTCCAAACGGTATCTCAACCTCGTCAAAGGTCTTGTGAAGCCTGAGATACCATGGCGAATCATATCCATTCAATTGTGGCAGGATGTTGGTTGCAACAGCATTGTGCTGAATGGCGAACGGCCACATCGACAGCGGGAACCCTGACTGAACAAGGTTCGCTCGCGCTCCCTCCAACAAATGTCTGATTCCCCTTCCCACGAATGATTTGGAGGAATCGACATATTCAATGGAGGTTTGGTGACGGTACCCCAACTGTTCTATGGCGGCCTTCAGTTATCGGTATAGGGAACCTCAACCTCGTCCCTTCCTGCTGTGCAACGGATTGCTCCGCTTTTGCCTGTCGATGGACACACTTACCTGAACTGCGTGCGCAGGTCCTTGATCACAAGAGCACACCACTCACCTTTGATGCCGGGCTCTATGTTGGCCTTGAGAACCACATGATCAGCAATGATGTGATCCCCGAAAGCCTTGGTCTCGAGCCAGCATATGGGGCAGGCATCTTGGCACGTTGGCATGTGCGGCAGAAAGGATTCTTGGGGTAGTGTGCAAACAAGTGTTCCTTGGTGCTTGCTTCAGCAACCAGGTCTTGCTCTTTGCGGGATCTCACAAACAGCTCAACTTCATCATCAGGGTCATCACCTTCGTCGATGCCGTCGTCATGAGCCGGTTCAGGCGCTGGCTTGGAGGCAGCTGCTGCACTCAACGGTGACTCTTAACCTTGAGCTGGATCAGGGCACCATCCGGGCGAACCGTGGTTGGTGCCTTTCCGGACTCCCAATGATAGGAGTATCCTTGGTCCAAGCACTTCACACCCAACGACAGCACTGCAGGAGAGCTTTCAAGGATGTAAGGCAATGACGCTTTGTGCAGTTGCTCTGCGCAAGTTGCTCTGCACAAAAGCTCTGCGATTTTTTTCCGCGCAAGTTGCTCTACGCAAGTGCTGCCAGAGCTGCCGGAATGTACTTCGCGCACTGCCTTTATACTCAAAAGTTGCGATTTTGCAGCCGGAGCTGCGGAGGTGCACTCTGCGTACTACGTTTGCACTTACAAGTTGCGATTCTTGAGCCCGAGCTGCAGGAGTGTACCCCGCGTACTACGTTTGTACGTAAAAGTTGCGATTTGCCAGCTGCGGGAGCGTCCTCCGCCTACTACGTTTGCACGTAAAAGTTGCGATTTCTGTCTAGAAGAGCTGCCACGGACCAGGCGGGAATCGAACCCGCGACCGCGCGACTCTGAGAGCAGGCGCGCGAACCACGCGACAACTTTCAAAGACCAGCTCGCAAGAATTCGCACGGCGCTCCAGCGAGAGCGCTTCGACCACGCCGATCTCCGCAGAGGGTCGCGCGGGAGCCGCAGAAATCGCAAAAAGCCCTCAGTTTTCTAACCTCGACCACACGAATCTCCGGAGAGGGTTGGTTTTCGTAGAATGCTGTCGGGCCTACCCCCCCTAAGAAGAGAAGAATGGAATGTAAGACTCTTATGAGCAATGACTGTGCAATGACTCTGTGCAATGACTCTGATGATAATGATGATGATAACTCTTTGCAATGACTCTCATGATAACTCCCATGAACCCAACGGAAGAACCCTTCGCCATGCTTTCGGGAAAACATGACACAGTATAACTTCAAGGCGTAGCCGGCTAGAGGCCGCAGGCCCAAAAGATTCACGAGCACCGCCCCGTCCATGGCTATGAATATGGCGCTGTTCCACAGCAAAACCTAGGCCACAAAAGCTCAGCGGGCCGTTGTGCGATCGCCACTTGCTCCAAGCAGCTGTTCCGAAGATCTCCCATCGAAGTTGGCTCCTAAGTTGCACGAGCTGAGAACCGCAAGTTCTGTGGCCTGAGAACAGCGCATAAGGAAAACTATCAGAACGAAGAGGGCATTGCAAAGAAGAGAGACAATGCCGTTCAGCGTGGTGAACGAGATGATGTATGCCCAATCCTAGGCCAGGAACTGGGAATGCGGAAACAAATGCAGAAACGGGTTGGTTCCAAAGACGGGGCTCGTTGTACAAGACCTCCGAAACTTCCAGCTTCATAACGCTGCGCTCTGAAATTGCCTTTGGCATGACCTAGCCAAGACGGCGATCGCCGTGACCGCAGTGACATTCGGGGGGCGCCTTGATGCCGGACAGGGCGCAGGTCATGACCAGCATGAAAAAGAAGCCGGCCTCAGACATCGCCAGAGCAAACATCGCGCCTGCGACTTTTCATCTTTCTTTTCGCCCACCTGGTTGTACCCAGCATGATTTCCGATCCCAATGTAGGCCGCACCTCTGTGCGCTCGGGGCCGTCACGAGCTCGTGACGGCTAGGCGGTTTGCGGGCTCTGAGACCCGGACCAACCAAAAGACCCTGCGCCACGGCCACCACGACATTGGTCAGGATTCCTTGCCTTTGATCACTTTGTTCACTTAAGTCACTTTGATCTAATCGGATCTAATTGAGGACTTGCGCGAGCTATGGCAGTGGGATGTCATGAGCCAAGCGACTGATCGCGAATCAGAAGGCGGAGCTGCCTGCAAAAGACCTTCTGAAGCTGCTTTCGAAACCTGAAGCACTCGGCTGAAACGGCTGAAAGCCATATGAGTCTATGAGCAAATCGGACATTCTGATTGGGCGGGACCTGACGGCGTAGATGCTCCTTCTCACTGGGGGCATCTCTCCAAAGCGACACCTGGCACAAAGTGCCGGGAGGGCACCGTGCGACAGTTCTGCTCGCACTTGACCTATCTGACTCTGAAAACGGGTCGGAATCTCAAGATCCGCCGTCTATCCTACACACATCGACCGATCGACTCGAGCGGCGCACGCAACGCGCGCTCCCTGGCGCTCCCTGCTCCCTGGCGTCCTCCAGGAGCTCCATGGCAGTCCGCCGCTCGCGGTGCAGCTCCGCATCCACCTCAGCGCGCGCAGCGCGCTGCGAGCGCGCAACCGGGATCGCGCATCGATCGCCGGGCACGCGGCCAGTCGGACAATGACAGGCTTGGCAGTGTCCCGGTAAAAGCTCAAGAAATGGTCTGCCTGCCAAAGAAGCTGTCTGTCACTGCTATGAGCAGCCGCACGGCTTCGCTCAATCCGCCCAGTGCTCACGCTCCTGCGAATCCACGGTTCCTGGAGTGATCAAGTCCAGGAAGTAGTCCTGGCAAACCATGCATCTTCAAAAATATTGAGGGCATTCTTGGGTGGACGTCACCTGTGTACTGGCAAGCGCAATTCAGAACCAGGCCAAGGCTGCAGTTGGGGAAACAAGGTCCGGCACCTCATTCGAAGCCAGCACAATGGCACCCAGCGCCGATTGAGGCTGCCACAGGGAAACCGGCATCGCACCAGTACTGCGTCGCCTGCTATCCAAAAGTCGCTTGCAATGGCCAAGCGAACTCGCCTGCACCATGGGGCCGTTGTAGATCACTTCCCCAGGATTCGCCGTGAGCAAAAGCAAGTGGTCGAAAAGCACGGCAACCTGCGTCTCTGCCGCGTCTCTGGCCGGCCCTCGAACGCTGTCTGTGCCTCTTGCCGAGGCTGGTGAATCGCGGCGATGATGGTCACGTGATACTTCTTGCACAGCAATCGCATGTACCTCAGACCCAGACCCCACAGACCTCCCAGAACCCCCCCCGACCTCCCCAGACCCCCCCCCAGACCTCCCCAGACCCTCCGGGTCCCGCCTCACGCATTGCTCCGCATCCGTGGCGCTGAGGCCTACGAGGGCTAACAAAGCAGGACAGGCCAAGCTGGCGTTCGCAAGACAGGTCAGCGTGTCCAGAGGTGGGCTCATCGCAAAAAAAGATCTGGGCCTCAAAGAGCACGCACGCAGTTGCTCGCATTTCATCTACACGTGCATTTACATGCATTTACATGCATTTACATGCATTTACATGCATTTACATGCACTCGACTCACGTCCGAGCCGCGCCGGTGGCTAGCCCGCAGGCTAAGGAGACGCGACGCCTGGAGCTTGGAATCTTGGGGACACTGAGAAGGATCTGAGAGCGCCTTTGGCCACCAGAAATGCCTCGGACCACGTCGCTGCCAATGTACGCATCTTGAACCTGAAGTGAAACGAGAAACACGCCGAGACATCGAAGACCACGGCCTCTTCCAGGCCAACTGCTCGCAACCGCAACCTGACATGTCCAGATCCCTTGTCATTGTTACATGGACAACTGGCGTGAGGCGGATACTCCGTTGCATTTGCCATCATTGTTCTGGAAACCGCATAAGGCACCTCCAGCTGAGTTGCAAAGCAAAACAGATCTAGGCGTGGCAACATGCGGCCTCCGTTTTCAGGGCAGTATGGAACATGACCTGTTCTTTCACCTCAGTGTCCCTCGTGTCCCTCGTCGTGAATGTCCACCAGATCTCTCCAAATGTCCATCAGGCATCGGCGGTCACTGTTGGAAACATGATGTCATCCTGAAACAGGAAACCGGCTGAAACTCTTGGCTCTAGCTCTTTTGGCTCGTTTCGCTCTAAGCTCTTTGGCGGTTTCTTCTGGAGATGTGTCTCTCGCTCTTTCTCTCCTGTGGCACGTAGCTCGTGAGGCGCGGGAACAGGCAGTCCCGCGGCCTGCCGTTCATGTGCACCTGAGAGAAACGCGGAAAACGAACACGCAATTCGAAGCGTGAACTGGAGCCTTGAACTCTGAAGCCACTCCGGGCGCTGGGCGGTGCCGCTGTAGGGGGAGGTCTTCTTGGCGGCCAAAATGTCCAGCAACGTCGTCTTGCCGCTGCCGGATGGGCCTCGACTCTTCGAGAGATTCCGCTGATCCAACAAGAGCCAATACGAGCACCCGACCCATTAATGCGACCAGCCTCAGTTCAAAGCTCACTATCTGTCACTATGCCTACTCAGTTTCCATGGAAAAGTTGCTGACAGGGAACGTGCCAGGCTCGAAGTGACCCGAGCACGGCGCTAAAATCGTGTTCGAGTCACCTGCGTCATGAGCTGCCACACTTCGAAGCGGCATCGGCTCCGGCCATGTGAAGTTGGCAGGCTGAAGCTGACATCCTGAAACGACTCCAACGAGAATGACTTAAACGACTCAAAGGACTCAAACGACCCTCACCCTTCTCGCTCCCGTCCTTGAAAGTCAAGGCCGCCTCAGTCGACCGGAATTTGCAAACCGCTTCGCAGCTGGGTCTCTGGCATTGCCATAGGCCAATTTTCCGTCCAGCTGAACATCGCCGGGCTCACCCGTAACCTAAGGAGCGCCGCAAGGCCGCAAGGCCGCAAGGCCGCAAGGCCGGGCATGGCACATCTCAACAGTCTCAACAGTCTCAACACGCGACCCTTTTGGCTTGGGAGTCGCCTGCTCAATGTCCTGACAAACGGAGCCGACCACATAGCCTCGAGCATTCTCGACGAGCGAGCCACCCAAGCCCAAGCAAACGGACTGGGGCACGCGCCGTAAAGAGCTCCGATGGTACAGTCCGAAATTGTGGAAGCGGTGGTTATCGTGCCTCAGAGTAATCAATATGTGACATGTGCCAACGCAGTAATATATCAACATGTATATCAATATATCTATCTGAATTGCCAGAGCGTTATAGCTGCTATAGCTGAGACCTCTGCTTGATACGGCCATTGGTGGCACCGGCGGCACGGGTGGCACGGCCGGCAAGGATGAAGACTTGGCACCGCTTCTGAGTGCCTGACATCTCAAAAGATCAAAGCGATTGTCTTTTTGCAACGTGTGTTTGTTTGAGGAAATCTGAGAGTTGGGGTCGGGGCCGCGTGCATAATTGACGGGCTCGCATGCAAGTCGCCTCGACAAATTGCACGGGCAAGCGATTCAAAATTGTCAGTTGCGACTTCAAATGCTGTCAAGCCGCTTCCCTTCGAAGCCCCCGATGCCTGGGCAAATGAAATCAATCTGCGACATCTGATGGTCCAGCGGCCTTGCTCGCCATTGCAGAGGTTGGCAAATTCATGTCACCCGACGTGGGAGCAGCCTGCGCTTCGTCAAAGCTCGGCTGAAGCGGTCGAGGATTAAACTTGGCAGCCGCGCGTGCTCGTCACCTGGGTGCCATGACTTCAAGCACAACTGTCAGCATGAGCATGAGCACGGCTCGGCACGGTGAACTGAACACATTCCTGGTCAGCTCAAGCTGCAAGCCAAAATCTTTGGCACTCTCTTTCCCATCCCTCACTGTCCTGGGGCTTTCAGCAGGAATGCCACCGTCCTGGGTCTGGGCGAGACACGACCAACCGATGTAGAGGCGTGCCTGCCTTTGGAGATGCGGGCATGTCTTCCACCAAGGCTCATTCACATGCAGCTGGAACCGCAAAGCAAAAGGACAAGACATGTGCAATTTGGAGCGTAGCGTAGCAACTCCGGTTGCAGCTCGGGCTCAAGACTTCCAAGAGCTTTTTGCAACTGAGGATCTTGGCGTGTGTCACTCGGCCCCCCAATTCCAGGCCTCGCCCACGCCGTTTGACGGCACCGGCCCGAAGCCGCTCCCAGAGTCCCCCCGAAACACGGAGGCCAAGCCCGGACCAAAGCCGCACGCCCCGCACGGCCCGAACGGCGCGCACGGCCCGCACGGCCCGGCGCAAGGCGCCATCCCGCTCAGCCATCTGTCAGGGCACCTGAGCTGCCACTGATGCGGCCAAAAGAGGAAAATGCCAAGCCAAGACACGGAAGGGGAGGGCGCGAGGCCTAGAGCTCGCAAATGCAGCCAATACAATGCCAAACATGAAACACTGGACAAGTCGTGCTGATTATGTAACTAAACCAAAGCACCCTGGCACACAAAATCACACAATGATGTTTTGACCCCGGCTGGGTAGTAGCAGCCGCTCCAAATACCCAGCGTTTCGCAATGGAAGGGGGTTGTATCCCAATGCGCCTCGGCAATGCGTGTCCAATGCGCATCCAAGCGCCTTTGGCCTGGGGCTTCGGCACTTGCTCCAGCCTGGCAAACGCAAACGCGTCTTGGCAACCCCCGAATTTCTCCGGGGTGCCCGTGACAGTGCGTTGCAGTGCGTTGCAGTGTGTTGCAGTGCATGGCGCTATGATGCGCTGTGCCTGGGTAACAACTCCCTGGCTGCACATGCAAGCAGGCCAGCTGCACCATTGCCACAAGTGGAGGGACACCCATCCTGCAGAGCTGCCACCAAAAACTTTCAGAGATGAAGCGGCGCGGATGCGTAAGTGTCAGGCTGGGCCACTCTTCCTCTCAGCTCCCTCTCACCATGTGCAAAGTGGCACGCCGAGCCTCCGCACGTCACAGGCTCTCAGCGCGTGAGCCCCAAGAGCCCCAAGAGCCGGGAGCCCGGCCGAAATTGCAGTTGCCCTGCTCCCATCTCTTGCAGAACCTGAAGCTCTCTGAAGCTCTCTTTCAGCCCTCTGAAGCCCTCTGCTCTTGAGGCCATCGGGCGCACGATGTTTTGTACAAGTGGGCTTTGTCAGGCTTGAGACCTGCAGGAACGAGATCTGGCGTTCACATGTTGCGGCGCTTCTGCCTGGCGGCATGAGGCCCAAGACATCCGGAGGGTGGGCTCCGGGAGGTATCAAATCTTCCTCAGGGCGTGTGGTTCCAATGTGTCCAAGTTCCAAGTTTGGGCCTCTTGGCGACGCCTCACTTGTTCAGCCTCTTCAGCTGCTTTGCGAGCCTACGAAGGTCACTTGTCGAAGGCACCGGAATGCAGCCCGTTCCTCCTCAGCCTCCTTCTTCGCATTAGCCTCTTCCTTCTCGCGTTTCAGACGCTCCTCCTACATCCGAGTCAAAAGCAGAGCAAGCCGTCGGGCCGTCGGGCCGTCGGGCCGTCGGGCCGTCGGGGCGTCGGGCCGTCGGCCTCCTCCATTTCGCGCCGTCGCCGCTCATCTTCCCTCGCCTTCCTGTCCTAACGGTTGCATCCGTCGCCCGCATGGAAACATGGCCGACATGGCCGGGCCTGCTCCTCACGCTCCATCTGCTCGCGCCTCTCCTGGAGCTGCTTGGTGGCATATGCTTCACGCTCGTGTCATGATGGGAATGTGTCGGGGGCCGGCTGTCCGGCACCTGTGGGAACGCGGGGACGTGTCAGCAAAACAGCGCATCTCACAATTTATCCACACGCAGCGGCAGACACGAGAAAAATGCGAGCACGTCTTGTTTGCGCGTCCACGAACGGCCCCAACAACTGCAGACCCGCAAGCGCTGCTTCAAACCAAAGCCTCAGATCACCGGTAGTCGCTTGTGATGCTTGGAGTCTTGGGGCGCAAGAGCCTCCCAATCTGAGCCGAAAAAAGCGTTGCCGAATGTCAGAAGCTCGCGCAAAACGCGGGCACACGGAAACGCTTAAACGTTCGCGCTCCTCCTCAGCTAACGTCTCCTTCCACTTGTCAAACTCCTCTTTGGTGATCTGCTCACCCTCAGCGCCGGGCGCAGACACGCGCAATATGGAGAAACAAATCTCTCGCGCTCTTGAGCGCTTGGGCTTTGTCCTCATCGCTCTCCTCACTGAGCTTCTGCCTGGCGCGGCTGAGCCGGAAGCAAGCTCCGACGCACAAGGCTCACAAGGCTCACAAGGCTCACAAGGCTCACCACTTCCGCTTCTTCCCGGCACTCGGTGACAACCTGACACTCGAACTGTCAAACAGTGGATGCGAGCGCAAGCTAAAAAAGCCACGAGCTGGTGTGCCTTGCAGCCGCTGCGTCGCCCTTGGGCTTGCGGCCCAGCCTTGGGACCGCGCAAGACGCGCGCGCACTTGCGCAACGCAACTGACAAGCATGTATTCTCGCGATCCTTTGAAGCATAGCAGTTTAAAGGTCATGACGAACACCCTACTTCAATGGAAACCTACTCCAACGCCCACGAGCACTTCGGGCTGCAAGCCCGCCAGCGTGTGTGGCGCAAATTGCGGCAAATCTAGCCAAATGCAAGGATCACCACATTGAGCGAACAATACGGAAACCGGCCAACTCACGCGTGACCTTCGCAACCTCTCATCAGCATTCCCTCAGCTTCCGAAAGCGCGTAATTAGCCTCTGTTACTTAAGGCAGACTTGCTGCTTTGGTGCTAAAACATCCTAAATACCATCAGCACAGGTTGCAAGCTATGGCGCGGTTGGTTTTCACCCTTGTTCAAATCTGGCACACGCGCGCTTGAGCATCCAGCTGCAAGCCGCTTTTTGTCTGGCTGCAAGCTTTCCTTGGGGGTTGGGGCCTCTACGGCCACCATCGCGGCTGTGTCAAAGCGGTCGCAAGCTGGGCGCAAGCTGATACCTTTGCTAAGCCGCAAGGCTGTCTCCCATTCGAAGCCAAGCGCCAAAGTGGGGCCAAGAAGCTAGCACTAGCCCTGCAACTTGGCCTGTCTTTGAAGTCAACGGAGGTTCCGCCAGGGCAAGTGCGTTGGCTTTGGGGGGCGACATTGAGAAGCTCAGCACGAAAGCGCCACTGAAGTGGACTCCAAGAAAGCCATGAGGCCTGCGGCCAGCGGCCAAAGGTGCGGGAAGGCGCCTTGAAGACGCTACAATAATTTTGGCGCGGCCATTAAAAGGGCCAGTCTCGATTTTGAGCATCTTGATCGTGAAGCAATTGCAAAGCCGCACGCTGGTGAAGCTGAGGACGTGGTCACTCCCAAATGTAGCCTGATCGCTTCTCAAAAAAAGGCGCTGTTTGCAAAGCGCCTCGATTGGGAAGAAATGGGCTTTGCAAAGGATGGCTTGCTGGAAGGGGCTGAGAACCAGGACGAGGCCCTGTCTGCATTTCAAGAGGGAGTAACGTCGTCAAAACAGCGCAGAACGGGCATCCTCAAAATGCAGCGCTTGCTTGCGGGTAGCGCTGAAGATTACAAGGCTTAAGCGCTTTTGTGAAACAGCCTCAAAAATGCCTCCAAATTCTTTCCAAACCTCTTGAAAGCAGGCTTTTGCAAAGGATGGCAAGCAGGCTTTTGCAAAGCCTTCTTTGATGCTGCTTCCGCGGGGCAGGCGCTGAAACAGCCAGCCAGCCAGCCAGCCAGCCAGCCATCGCAACATGGCGCACTCAGGCATGCTTCCTTCTTGAAAAGCAAAGAGGCGTTCAAAGCAAGGGGCTTTCAAACTTCTTTGAGCCTGCTTTCACACCTTCGAGGTTTTGTTTCTGGAATTTATACGTATCACATTGCAATCGCAAACTCCCTCTTGCCTCAAAGATCAACGCTGCGTCAAAATCAGATGTCTGGAGAAGGCGCTGAACGCCTCCAAAGCTTCGACTGTCTGCAGAGATTGAGGCATGGCCGGAGACACTGCCTGAGATTCGCTCAGACGACAATGACCGTTGACATCACAGGCATCCAGGCATCCATTGCACAAATGCCAAAAAGCCTTGCCAACTTTAGTGCTCGCTGAGCAACGTTCACTTGCAATGGAGAGTCAAACTCTCGTTGGCCCTTCAGCTGTGTGGACACTTTGGCATGAGGACTTTGGTGGAGCAACGGCATTGACAAGAAAGCGAAGAGGTGGCCCAGGGACGGCGTTGAGTTGCTGAAAATGTTGAGGTTCTGCTCCAAGCATAGTGTGCCTGCTTTGCCTTACTGCCAGCCAAAGAGAAAAGAAATTGCGTGGCTTGCGCGCGTTTTCAGCTTGTTTCCTTGTTCAAAGCATCACACTTTAATGCACTTTTTGATGAGGGTTTGCCGAGGGCCAGTGGCACGCAGTGGCTACACGACACAATCACAAGTCGCCGACTTCCAAGTTGACGAAGAGTGTTCGGAATTCGTTGCACGGGACCCGCGCCACTGGTGTCCGCGAACGTCTCTTTACCCCGCTGCCCTGTGGCCACCGGCAGTGCCGGTAAACCGAGCCTGCCCCCCACTCTGTTTGATGCGCGTTTTGAGCAACTCTTGCTCAAACTGAGCTGATAGCGCATTTAGCGCATTTAGCGCATTCTGAGACTTGAGAAAAGGCTACAGCATCGCGAATGCCATGGTCAAAGCGCTTTTTCAGGGAATGCCAATTCAAGCGGTGCGCCGGAAAGGGACTTCTTGGCTTGCCCTCTCACATTGCACTTGAGCCGCTGGCATGGCATGGCTGCCCGCCTGTTCGCCCGAAGATTGCCATTCTGACTCGAGCCAAAACGCGAAGACACATCGCGCATGGCTCGATGCCTGGCAAATCGCGCACATGATACAAATGCAGGCAAAAGATGCATGCAGCATCGTGCTTCGAGCCAAATGATGCCTGTGCTGATGCAATCGCACGCCACGCTTTCACTCAGCACTGGCCCGCGAGTTCCTTGGAACGTATCTGACTCACTCAAACACGGACGGAGGGAAGAATTCGGGTGCGGATGTTTTTTTTTTTTTTTGTCCTTTTCTTTTTTTCGTTTTTAGTCCGGGCCAGTAAAGTGTTGTATTTTACAGCATTTTCTCGCGAAATTGACGCATTTTACACTAGCCCGTCAACATCCCCAGCATCGTTTTCAACATCCCGACCAACATCCCCAGCATCACCAACAAATCGTGGTTAACAAGATCCAAAAGTAGCTGGCGGGTTGACGGGGTCAAAAAAATAATGCTTCAAACAGGAGGGCATTTCAATCCCAGCAAGAACAAAAACAAAAAAACACAGAGCGGGGGGTTGGGGGGGCGGCAGCCCCCCCCCATGATGTTGGCAGAAGTGATGATTTGAATAGGGGTGCAATTAAATCTCTGCAAAAAGTCTAAAAAGTAGCGGGGGGGTTGGGGGGGGCGGCAGCCCCCCCCATGATGTTCGAAGAATTGATGATTCAACTAGGGGTGCAATTAATTAAATCTCTGCAGAAAATCTTAAACGTAGCGGGGGGGTTGGGGGGGGGGCCAGCAGCAAGCAGTAGCTTTCCCACAAGCAAACTCTCCTTCATTTCACCGCGCGCGCGCGCGCCAGCATTTTTCAATCCACTCACCAAAACCCATATAAACGCTTAAACATGTTTCCAAATATCAATCCACTCACCAAATGTTTTAAGTTATTCATTTTTGATAAATAACTTAAACCAACTCAATTATCTTTAACCTCATTCTTTTTCAAATTATCCTCGTGCCTGTAAGTTAATTCGTGTCTCGCTTTACCTATTTTCCTAATATCACAATTACACGCATCACAATGATACATTACTTGTTGTTTCCTCCTACACTTCTCTCACGGCATCTTTCGCAATTCTTACAATTTCCTATGAAACAATCCACATTCCTTTTACTCTGACAACCTGAACAATATTTCTTTTCCATAACCTCTATTTTGTAATACCCACATCCCTTTAAACAGTTTTAGACACAAATAAAATTTTTGCTCTGGGGCAAGACCCTCATAGAAAAAAACCCACCAAACAACCGACCATACAACGGACTTTTACAAACCCCTCTAAACAAAACGAAACGGCAGATGCACACAGGCAACTGGTAGATGCGCAAACATGTAGATGCCTTTTCGTGGCGCTTCCTGTGTCCTCTGGTGAAGCATCCTAACCTTAGGATTGTGGCATCCTAACCTTAGGATTGTTGCATCCTAACCTTAGGATTGTTGCATCCTAACCTTAAGATTTTTGCATCCTAACCCTAGTATTTATGCATCCTGATATCTTTATATATTGGTGTTTTATCTATTTTATAAACTATGGATTTCCCCTTTAAAATTCATTATTTTCAAAGTTTTAAGTTCCATATTGTTTTACTCTTTTGTCGTTGGACGAACCTGCAAATTTCAAGTTTCAACACCAACCCCAAACTCGTTGTCCTTAATCCACCAAACTCACCAAGATTTCACAAATCAATTCAGCAGGTATTTTGTATAAATCTTCTTGCTTATGCTTTACATAATTCTCACAATCTTTATTACATAAACTTCGGGGTTTCCATCTATCAAGGTTGCTCCACAACCTAGTGCGCTTCCTGTAATTAAAACCAAATTTACAATAGTCAATGTCATTAAACCTTAACCCATTCATAAAAGACTGACTTTTCAATAATCCTGTCTGTGGATTTCAATAACAAAAAACGGCCATCCGAAATATTCAATAATCTCTAATGTTTTTAATACAATACTATTAGCATATTCAATGTTTCTTATTCCTGTTGTTTTTGCAATACTGCATTCGGTGCATGGAGGACTGCTCCAAATAAAGTCAAAATGGTTTCTGTCAAATGGTTTATAATCCCATTCCAAAATATCACAATTAATATCAGCATTTTTCAAATCCAAAGATATAACATTAAAACCGAGCGACCTCGCTACAATTCCAACCAACCCACTACCTGAAAATAACTCTAATAAATTCATATTGTTAAAATGATTTAGATATTTATTATATTGTTTCAAATTTACCCTCTTCGTTCTTAAACAGCTTATAATATTCAATGGTTCCTCTTTTGGTTGTTTAATGCGCCCTTTGTTTAACATTTCCACGTATTGTTTTTGTTTGTCTTCAGAAGACCCTTTCGGACGTCCTAATCCTTTCCTTTCAACCATTTTATCCATCTTCTCCGTATCGTCTTCGTTATTGCTTTTAGGTTGGTTTATTTTTCATCAATATTCTTAATAAGTTCAGTTAATGTTTTAATATTCTTACTGATAATTATAATCTTTTTCATTCAATCGTTAATTGTAGAATCACCATTTTCTGACATTTCTATATATTTATATATTTATTTATTTATGCGTTTAACGTGGTGTTAAATCTACTCTTTAAAATACTAATTTTTCATCATTTGCTTAACAGTTTCCTGTGTTTCGTTTTCATTATTATCGGATGGTGTTGCTTGCCTACCAAATTTAGAAGTTATACTATGGACATCAGTTTCTAAGTTGATACTGTCTTTAGTTTTATCAATATTCATTTTCTTATCATTTTTACTAACTTTGAAACTTGTTGGAATACATGAACATTTACAATTTCCTTCGCGTTGTACTTCTAGTTCATTTTTTAGTTCTAACATCTTTTTGCACATAGGACAAGCAACCTCAATCACTGCTGTTTCTTTAACAATTTCTCCGCTATCTTCATCTGTTGAAGAAACTGTAGTATCTGTTTTATTCTTTTTGTTTTTCTTTTTTCCCATTTACATTAAGATTTACATTTTTATTTTTGAAATATTGTATTCCTAAGTTTTAGTAGTTCTAACGAATAATAGCATACTTTCTTACATCTATTATCAGTTATTATTACTTGTTCTATATATGCTACTTCATCTATTATGTCAATATAATCTGTATAACTCCTTTGCATATCAAATAATAAGATGAATTGTTCTATTTAATCCTATTATTTCAATTGAATGGAACATCATTATGTTATGAGTGGCGGTGAATAACATAATGGAACAGGTTTTCCATTGCTTCAATCAATAAGCATTGAAGATAATTAGGTTTGTGTCTCGCTCGCGTGTGCAATGAAAACCCCAAGTGCTGTGCCCCACCAATAATCTATAATAAATATAAATTATTTTCTAAATATCTTTAATATTTTTTATGCCTGATGTAAAACCAATTGATGAAATCAAATATGACTTTAAGCAAAGCAAGCACGAGGTCGTCCCTAAATTGCCGATGAGAGCTATGATCGTGGGCCCGTCTGGTTCTGGAAAATCGACACTACTTGTATCAATGATACTTGATATTTACAGAGGAGCATTGAAAGAAGGTTTAAAAGTAGATACTGATAAAGAATCGTGTTGGTGGGATGAGTTCAATGTTGAAGATTTAGAAAGAGTTATAGAAACCCAAAACAAATAATTGAATACCAGAAAAAAAAGGAATGAAGAAGTTATTTAATATTTTGGTAATTTTAGATGATGTATCTGATAATCCAGCAATAACAAGAAATAACAAATTGCTAAATTCTTCATTTTGTAGAGGTCGACATAGTGGAATATCAACACTTGTCAGTCTTCAGAAATCATCAACCGTGCCACCAATTATTAGGGTAAATATAAGTCATTTGTTTTATTACAAAGTTAGAAACTTCAAAGAGATAGAAATATTACAAGATGAATTATCAGCAATTGTTAGAAGTGATAATTTACTAGAAAGCAAGAAACTAATTTATAAAATATATGAAAAAGCAACTGAACAACCACATAGCTTTTTATATATTAACCTGCTCCAAAAAGACCCTAACCGTATCTTTATGAAAAACTTTTCGCATTAATTGAAAATAACTAATCAATAATATTAAAAAATATTAAAAAATATAATTTAAAACATTAATCAATAATACTAAATATTACATCATTTTGTTTGATTTTTCCTTTTCAATTATACATATTCTTTCATACATTTGCTTAATTGCCTTCAACTGTAATTTATCAATATTACTTAAATCTAATTGTTCTACATCAATATCATTGATTTTTTACAATACTTGTAGTTTCAACATTGCTATTTGAATTACCCGTTTATATAATATTATTTAGATTAGAATAAAATGATAAATACTCAAAGGAATTACAATAGGACATAACAATATCCAAAGAATACGAGTTATAACTTTATCATACGTTTTTATTAGTCTGTTGTTTCTCTCTTCTCTTCTTTGCTTTTTTAATTCTTGAATATATTCCACAAATTTAGAATGATTAAAATTACATTCTTTATTATTACATTTATCTAATGTAAATTCATCTTTATTTAACTTAGTAATTTTACAACCACAAAAACATTTTTTCTCTCATACTATTATTCTTAAATAATACTTCTATTTTAACTTTCTTGTCAATGTCCATATATATATATATTAATTATGTATTTATTTATTGAGATTTTTCTTTTTTAGATCCTTAATTTCTTTTTCTAAGTTTTCAACTTTATCTATTACTTCCAGTAAAGCTTTATGTAATAATATTGGTACTTTTGTATATTCAATACCTAAATATTCACGACTGCTATGAACTACATTACTAATTTCTTTTGGAACTGCCTTTAATAAATCATCAGCAATACAACCTATATGGATTGCATCTTTATCACTTCTAGCTTTTCTTTTGAACTTTTTAGGTTTAAATTTCTTAATCATATTAATACAGTTACTTTTAAGCAAATCTACATCGTATTTCAATCTTGCATCAGAGTTGTCTATTAAACTTCCATTTATGGTTACTGTCCCAGCGGTAATATCAATAGCATCGCCTGAGGCATCTTGAATATCATTGACAAATAATGTTTTTGTATTAACAACTGTTACATTTTCATGAAAAGTTGATGGAGCATTATTTGTAAAACTTTCAGTATTTACTGTTGTTCCAAATGTCTTATCAATAGAT